CAATCCTCCGTGTAGCAGCTTGGAAGTCCAAAGGGCACAAGGGTGCAGAAGGCTAACCAATTTTTGATTTGGGTTTCCTTGTTTGGTGTGGCGGGAAACTTTGACGGACTTCCCATACCTCCTCAAAACAACAACTTTTGAGGGCCTATGTTCCAAGGAAGTCGTTAGTGGGCTTCCGTATTCGGAGCGCTGGTTGCTTTTGAGATCCTTGTGTGGATTTCTCACGTGCCTAGATTCTTGTAGAGACAAGGTTGGCTGATCAAATTTGGAAATCAGAGACTATCACTGTACTTGATTGGGCTATAATTATAGTTGCTTCATCCAGAGAACAGCTTTGCCGCTGTTTTTGACAAGGGTATCCAGCTAGCGGGCGCAAGTCGAACATTGTGTGCAACACACAGTGCCATGGCTAGCGCGATCCGTATCGGCGCGGCCTGCTCCGGGCTGGATACACCAGTTCTGGCACTACGATATTTGCAGGTGTGGCCTCGAAGTCTAATCGATTGCATGTCCCGACTCATCCTGACATTTTTGCAAGCGACCACCTCCTGAGCTTCCATTGTAGGAAACTCTGAAGAGTCTTGATTGCTCCGGGGCTTGGCGGCTTGCAGCGCAGGTCAGTCACGAGCACATCTTTTCATCAGACATCGACCGCAGCGTCAAAAAGCACATCCTCCGCAACTTTGTGCCGCAAGTGTTCCTCAGCCCTGTTGATGGCCGATGGAGGTGATTTGATGTTGCGGGACTGGGAACCAGCGCTGTGGTATATCATAGGTTTATGGGTGATGCGCACAAAGTGGGCCGGGCCTTGGCCCTTTAGATTTCATCATACTTCAGTAAACTCTGCGCGACCAGCAGCCTCCCTGCCTTTGCGCCAAGGTTCTACGATGATTTTATGGCGAGAGACAATGCCACAGCTCCACAAGTCCACATTTATGTCGCTGGCTTTCCTTGCCAGTCCTTTGCCGCGGCAGGCTCCATCCTCAGAGCTTCTTTTGGATTTCTTTTGGATCAGAGCTGGCAAGCCTTTCAGAAAGCCGGGTCAATGGTTGAATATGTGCATATGGTTAGTTTGGCTTGAGCTTGTCCATATGCTTAGGCAAGCAGCGGGGATTGGATGATGCTCGTGGCACAGTGTTCTTTGGATGCGCTGACTACATCCGCGCTCAGCGCCCGCGCGTTTTCCTCTTAGAGAACGTCAAGGGGCTGCTCACGAACGATGGAGGTAACACTTGGGCTCAATGGCTGCACGGGCGGCGGCGGATGGGGCCAAAAAGGAATACGTATGACAACATTTACAATTATTCCTGTGCTTGCCTAGGTTGTTTTCAGACCTGGCGTATTTCCGACAGCTATCGATAGCAAAGCACACTGCTCTCTTATCAGGCTACATTACTCGACTCTTTGTGTGTTTTCGTTTTCATGAAGGGTCCTAAATACAGGGCTGAAGCCTGTCTGAGGCCTGGGTAAGCGCAAGGCCCTGACATAATATGTATCTGCTTTTTTGATGCGTATTAAGAGCGGTTGAAATACAGTGGATTTGTGCCGACTTGAGGCGACAGTCTTGCAGACGCTTCAGACCATATCAACCACTGCGAGTACCATGTCGAGTGGAAAGTCATGGACACCCAGGGGCATGGAGTGCCTCAGAGCCGCCACAGAGTTTTCATCATTGGCGCCCAAAAGGCCCTTTGGTTTATGCCTAATCTTTTCTGTTTTCACCATTGCATTTCTTCTTTGCCTAGCGCTTGGACATCTCACCTTTTTCTATAGCACAGCTGATCATCAGCGAAAGGGCTGTGCAAGTGTGGTTGCTTGAGGCATTTTTCTTGTGTTTGTGCACTTGTGGGGCTTCCGATTTGGGAGCGGTAGAGGTGCCGACTTGGGAAGAAGTGGTGTGTCCACCGCCTGCAGGCCTGGCTTCCATCGGACTTTTCGGCTTTCCCTTGGCCGGCCGCTGTGGCTCCAGAGTGCGCCGATGACTTTGTGGAGCCGAAGCAGGCGCAGCCATCCAGCGAGGCCAGCCCATTTTAGATTATATTTAGAAGTTGCAACTTCACGGCACGCCGGCCATGCCTGCATTGTTTGAGCTTGCTTGCAGGACTTGCCAAAAGGAAGGACACGCCGCAGGAATGCGCAAGAGATGCTACGTGAGTTGGTTGAAGCGAAGGAGGAGCCCTTGACCTGACTAGATTTAGCAAAGAGCTTGCTCATTCCGCAAGAGTTAAAGCTTGATCGTTGGGTGTGCCTCAATATCCCAAGTGCTCCAGGACCCCTTCAACCAAACATACTTTCTGGACGTGGATGCGAGCGAGCAATTCCGGAACAAGATGAAGGGCCGCGTCATGTGCATCTTGAAATCTCGTGCCAACGGGCGCCTTGGCCTATCCGGTCATGAGTGTCCGCGCCGAGCCGCCCAGACTTTGCAGACTGTACCCCAGTACCTGGCCCCATCACACCTTCCTGCACCCAAGAGGCTTCTTGAAGTTTTAGCAAGCCAAGGTACGGATCACTTGGCGGGGCCGTCGTGTGACTGGGCATGAGATGCTTCGCTTTCAAGGAATCGATCCGGGCAGTTTCCAGCAGGCTCAGAAAAGCCAGACATTTTCTGCGGCAGCACAGTTGGACAGCCCTCCTATAGATACTGTATATCAACATTTATATCTATATGATATGCAATTTGTTATCAAAACAGAAGTCCTTGCTTGACCCACCCAGTTGCACGCAGGTGGTGAGCGACCACCAGCTGGGCAAGCAAGTTGGCAACGCAATGAGCCAGAATGTGCTTGCAGCTAGACTGCAACAAGAGCTCTTCGATTTGTCAACAGGCTTAAAGCATCACGCTGCAATGAGCTGTACTCAGGAGAGGCTCTTTACCGTGCTGCTTCCTTTGGCAGGCCTTGTGCCCAATCATCCGGTGCTCCATGATCGGTGGGCTGCACGTTGTCCGCTGGAGCCTGCTCAGGCAGAGTAGGGTGGTCCTTCTTGAGGTGTCAGTTGTATTTGTTAGAATGGAGCGGTCATTTTCTGCTGGATGTTCATATGACATGATCAAGCTTGCTTCCGTCTCATGTCTGGAGAGCGTGACACCCCTGTAATGGGCCGCAAGATTAAAGCAAGCGGGTCGCAACATTGAAAGGTTCCCCAAAGACACACGCTGTAAAGGCCCCCCACGTCCCATTGCGCTCCGAGCCGGAGGATGGTGTGGTGGCAGCCACGCTTCGAACTTGTGTGGAGTGCGGGGTCTTCCGCTGCAAGGCTGCTTGGTACCTTGGGCGCACTGGTGAGGCCCCAGGCGCCCGCTGCAAGAAATGCAGAACGCTGAGGAGCATTGCCAAGAGGAAAGGCAAGGTGGCTGCTGGCAAGATGTCGTCCTTCAACCGCAATCCGCTTGGGATTCGCGAGGCTTCCAGTCATTGCCAGAGCTGCGGCGTAAGTCGCTCCATGCAGTCCTTGTGGTACGTTTGTAAGGGCACTGGGCGTGTCACGGGCTCTCTTTGCAAAGGCTGCAAGAAGCAGCGAGTGATGAATCAGCGCCTTATTTCTTTGACCGAGTGAGCAAACATTCGGCCGGACTGGATATTGAAATTCATGAGCTGGCATTTCGACCCGCTCCAAATTAGATGAAATCATATAAAAGGCTGAAAGGCTGTGAAGGATCAAGAGTGTTAGTCATGGCGCCTTAACAGCGGAACAACCAATGTAGACTGTATGCTTTGCAGTTGCCATCTTGAGC